ATTAATATAATATACATATACTTGCTTACACTCACTCTCTGTTTCTCTTTCACAGTAAAATTAAATATTATTTTCATCAGAGGAATCCCACTGAGGGTCGTCTGGTATGATGTCACGTCCTGAAGTCGGACAGATCTCCCTGACTATTGCCATGTCGAGAAATAGCTTCAGAGCAGATCTCTGCTCAGACGTCAGGTACTCGAGGACGTCCTCCCTTTTTCCCCTCCTATCAACCTTATATAATCTTGGAAATTGTAATAAAGTAGCCTCAATCTCTATCACAGTTTTCACCAGTTTCTCTCCTTCCTCGGTAGATTAGAATCTTATGGGACGCGTAAGGACGTCAAATTTTCTCAGAATGTCTCAATTCAAGTAAATTCCTGTCTGTTGATGTTATGACCGAATATTTTCCCTCTCCTAACTTCTTCCCAATTCAAGACTTAAGGCGCTTTCAAAAATCAGTTTTTAAAAGCTTTTTTAAAATTTTCAGTACAAGTTAAGGGGTATATGAATAGAAAGGAGACTCCATGGGCTCAATATCTAGAAAAGACACTACAATACCATCAAAAGACTAACCATAGAAAGAAAGTTCTGAGAGGACAGAACGACTAACTTATATACACTAATGGTGACAAAACCTAAGGAAGTTGTACCTTTTATCATGTATATCGGGATAATAACTCTGAAAGATATTACAGTGACCTTTATTGAAGACACACGAGATAACCAAGTGTGTATACACTCATGGACACAAATTAAGGAAGTTACCTTTTAGCATGTATATCGGGACAATAACTCTGAAAGATATTACAGTGACCTTTATTGAAGACACACGAGATAACCAAGTGTGTATACACTCATGGACACAAATTAAGGAAGTTACCTTTTAGCATGTATATCGGAACAATAACTCTGAAAGATATTACAGTGACCTTTATTGAAGACACGAGATAAACCAAGTGTGTATATACTCATGGACAAAACTAAAGGAAGTTGTACCTTTTAGCATGTATATCGGGACAAACACTCTGAAAGATATTACAGTGACCTTTATTGAAGACACACGAGATAACCAAGTGTGAACAACCTCTGTCTTGCCTCTGTCTCTGAAAAACAACAGACGACCGACGATATCAAAAACCTTCCACTTAAGTGTTGTCCATGAGTGTATAGCTTACGTACTGGACTTTTGGATATCCTCTAGTATACACGTTCCATGTGCGGGCTAACATGGTGTAACAGTCCGAAGACGCTAGAGAAGTCCAGTACGTAAACAAGCGACGTCAACGTACGTATCAGCACTTGTGTAAGCTGTAACTGCTATCTGTACTCTACAATGTAAACACCTTCAGTCTCCTCGACTTCCACGGCTTGATCGAAACGTTCCCTTTAATATAAGTCATCCTTCAACTCTCTCTATTTATCTCTTCAATCTGCTTTTCACATGTGTAGACACGTGGTGCACTTACAGTAAAAGCAGTCACCTTCTTCTACCCACCATGATTATCATGGCCTGTACCACGTGTACTAGGGATAAGTAAAAATATATATATCTTAAATACAATTCTATACACTCATTCTATCAGGAATAGACTCCAAATTTTGAATAACACATTTCAACACCAATTATAATTTTAAAATATAAATTTCTGTATACCTTATTGTAAGGATTAACGCAAATTGAAATTGGGAGGATGTGGCTCATCACTGATTAACCCACTCAGCGGTTTCGCCAGTTTCACCATTGATGGGCGATATATACCCATCCATTTGAATGTTTTTCTATCATTGCAGTGTAAAGTCTGTAGAAATGGGTTTTATTTATATATCAAAGATTAAGTCAAAGGTTTGTATATATATATTTATCAAATTTTAACGATAGATGGCATTTAATTGATGATAACACTTTCTGAAGAATATTCTCCATTGTTATGTTTGTAGCTATCTCTACTGGGTCTTTTATCTTAAAACTATTGTCTCTAATTCTCTTAAATACTTTCACCAATAATTCCTCAAATTACCGCAGATATAATAAAAACAGCTAAGCACAAACATATACAAAATACTTTATTAAGACATTTATTAAAATTTTACACAAATAAATTTACTGGTAATGCGTTTCTTTTAAATTTCATCAAATATTATCTCTACAGGCCTGACTGCAATGATATGAGTTATTGAATGAGAGGGCTTGGCTCATCAGTAGTGAACCCTCTCAGCGGTTTCGCCAAATTAATCTCTAGACCGCTCTACTATTGTATTGGACTGGTTTTATTATATACCCTGCATTTTCTATGGAAGGCAGCTTAGGGGTGTTTAGTGACTATAGACATAAGCTTATAGGTCTGTAGAGGTACATACATATAATTTCAAGGTATTGCATGTGGTTTACTAATATAAGACATATATTCTTATAACATAAAATTGCAGGAGTATGATATTCATGTACCAGAAAAGGCACCGCTCCCTTTAAGCCCCTGTACTGATGAGGGCCATAGATCGAAACCATGGTATACAGGTTGTTGGTTTTTTGTCTGAATTTACCAAAACTGGTGTTGTGGCTTATTCTTTATGATTACTAGTAAAGTTTGACTAAGGTGATGTAGAGTGCCATCGTTCCGATGCTCATTTAAAGGGAGAGGTATCCCTCTCCTCTGGGAGTACGCATATATATTCTAATACATATTTTTTTCGTCAGAATGTTTGCAAAGGAAAAGAATAAAATAAGTAAAAGATTTTCACATTCAATAATAATGAAGAATATATAGAGAGGAAAACCTAAATAAGATAATTAGTCTCATACACTGATTTCTATGATGAATCCGAGGAAAAACAAAAAGATGAAATTGAATCAAAGAAAAACACGATTATATTTACATATGCATACATAAATCTTTATCAAAATTCGAAACTATTTTAAATGCGTAAGATTCTTTTTGAAATTAAACAATTTCTACTGCCATATTATATATCATATTATAAATCTTTATGTTGCATTAGCGCGCCATCTGTTATCAAAATTGGAAACTATTATAGACGCGTATGATTCTTTTTAAATTCTTTAAAAACATAAATCTTTATTAACACCTTTCCTCTTTTTGCTAAAAATCCTCAGATGAAGAACAGGGGTTTTAAAAACTAATACAGACCTAAATACAATAGTTATAGCGATCCTGTAGATTGAACTGGCGAAACTGCTGGGAGGGTTTACCACTGATGAGCCAGGCCCTCCTAAATATCATTGCATTGTGGTAAGGAACAGTAGATAATATTCTTATCCGAATAATAGCGTGGTTTTTGAAACTTGGTGCGTTGTCAACTCTATCTTTCCTTTATTCCACCACCTACATCTATGAGTGTTTACATTGTAGAATGTAATATATAGATATATGTCAATGGTTACTGCAACTGTGTGGTTTCCCGCGGCATATTGCTAGGACGGGAGAAACGACGGGTTTTCTATCACCTTCCTATTATAACAATTGAATTTCCCGAGGTAACCATGTTTACAATAGCCAGTTGTTAGAGGAAATAGAGGCTGTCAGTTATTAATGTCAGATTGCTTGAAATTGTTGAGATGTAGAGATGTGTTTAATTTAGCCTATAAAAGTCTACAACAAGGTAGGGCTATAACAAGTTATACAATATCGTATGAGTGTAAAAATATCGTACAGGATTGAGAGCGTACCAATCTCATCACAATGGGGGTATCCTCTTGATATGGTATCTTCGCTGTTTTCTTTAAACTATCTATTCTGTAGGCTATCATGTCTCAGAACATGGCCTATCCACAATTCAGTTATCTCAGTGTTTCACAATGAGATTTATCTCCATGAGGCATACTACCCACAGTCGTAGAAAACACACACCGTTATGAAAATACACATAACCTCTCTCTGGAATTCCACCCTAAACCACTCCTGGTACACCCCCATTCCTAACGAATATTCTTTCCACGCCCTTACTATGGAAGAACAAACGGCGATTTCAAGATTACGAACAGGACATCTTAGAATGCTCAAATTTAATGGAAATATCAAAACATTCCCGAAATGCCCCAAATGTGATTCCCAGCCAATCCTGAACATCTATTAAATTGTAAAACGACATTTGAAAACCATCCCGCATGTGTTTCTTTTAAACGAAATATCAAAATTTATCCCAAGGAGAAATAACGATTATTTCTAACCTTTGGGATGAGGTATGAAAGGATGAATTGTGAAGAGTAATGATAAACGGAAAAATAAAAGTGTCCAGGGATGGGAAATCCGTTTATCATTACTCTTCACAATTCATCCTTTCATACCTCATCCCAAAGGTTAGAAATGATCGTTATTTCTCCTTGGAATAAATTTTGATTTTTCGTTGAAAAGAAACACATGCGGGATGGTTTTCAAATGTCGTTTAACAATCACAAGCCGCATTATATTATAGTGTATTATCTATTAAATTGTGTCAAATCCTCCAAAAAAAGACCTCTGGGAAAACCTCAGGACTATAATAGAAAAGCTGAGACAATGGGACCTAATGGAGATTGTTTAAAAGACTTGATGAATGAGCAACAACAACACACACCGTAGATTTACACTGTAGGTAGTATGTCTCATGGAGATTTGTCTTATTGAAACACTGAGATAACTGAATTGTAGATATGTTCTGAGACATGATAGCCTACAGAAGTTTAAAGAAAACAACGAAGATACCATATCAAGAGGATACCCCTGGCACTATTTAGATCCCAATTGTGATGAGATTGCTACGATCTCAATCTTGTACGATATTGTTACATTCATACGATATTGTATAACTTGTTATAGTCTTTTATAATACAATATAATATAATGCGGCTTGTGATTGTAAAACGACATTTGAAATACTATCCCGCATGTGTTTCTTTTCAATGAAAAATCAAAATTTATTTCAAGGAGAAGCAACGATCATTTCAAACGTTTTGGATGAGATATGAAAGGGTGAATTGTGAAGAGTAATGATAAACGGAAAAATAAAAGTGTCCAGGGATGGGAATCGAACCCACAGTGTTCCGCTTACCGGGCAGATGCCATGTCCACTAGGCTAGTCTTACCTTGTTGTAGGCTTTTATAGACTAAATTAAACACAGGTGGATAACACGCCTTTTATATGCAACAAATGCAACACACTGCTAAACATGATGGTTTTATTTTTAAATTAATATTTAAATTGTAATATAATTCCACTATCCCCGTAAAACTTGTGACCATAATGTGCTTTAATATCATAAACTATATCTCCCTACAGTGACGGATTAATAAGCAGAATACCTTAATACAGTGTTAGAGATATAAATAGTGGATTAAACTGGCGAAACCGCTGTGTGGGTTATGATTAGGCCCTCGCCATATTTTTCAGTCCAGTAAGGGGATATTATGAAGTTGTTTTTTATTTGAAAAAGAAAATCAAAATCTTGTTTAAGTTTCATTTAATATATCCTCTTAATTGTTGTAACATTGTTATAATATCATTGTGTTGAAGGATGGTTATGTTCTCATTGTTGTAGGGTTGTTATGGTTCCATTGTTGTAGTGTTGTTATGTGCCCATTTTTGTAGAGTTGTTATCGTCCTATTGTTGTAGAATTGTTATGGTCCCATTGTTATAGAGTTGTTATGGTCCCATTGTTGTAGAGTTGTTATGGTCCCATTGTTGTAGATTTGTTATGTTCCCATTGTTGTAGAGTTGTTATGGTCTTATTGTTGTAGAGTTTTATGGTCCCATTGTTGTAGAGTTGTTATGGTCCCATTGTTGTAGAGTTATTATGTTCCCTTTGTTATGGTCTTATTGTTGTATAGTTGTTATTTTCCTTTGTTGTAGAGTTGTTATGTTCCCATTGTTGTAGATTTGTTTTGGTCCCATTGTTGTATATTTGTTATGGTCCCATTGTTGTAGAGTTGTTATGGTCCCATTGTTGTAGAGTTATTATGTTCCCTTTGTTGTGGTCTTATTGTTGTATAGTTGTTATGTTCCCTTTGTTGTAGAGTTGTTATGTTCCCATTGTTGTAGATTTGTTTTGGTCCCATTGTTGTAGATTTGTTATGGTCCCATTGTTGTAGAGTTGTTATGGTCCCATTGTTGTAGAGTTGTTATGGTCCCATTGTTGTACAGTTGTTATGGTCCCATTGCTGCAGGGTTTTTATTGTCACATTGTTGTAGGGTTGTTATGGTCGAATTGTTGTAGGGTTGGCATTAGCCCATTTAGTTAATACGTTCCAGATTCTCAAATTAGCACACAATTATTAATACATATATTATTTTATCTCCTGTATTTTCTAGTGGATGTGAAATATTTTCTTGTCCCTTGTTCAAGTGGTCTGTCGTGAAACAAACTCTGGACATTTTAATTCTTTCCAGAACACCCAAAGATGTAATGAGGAGGTTGAACATTGCCTGTATTCCTAGACGGCTGATGACCCGTTGTGGATAGTCTGTCTGGGAGTCACAATCCTCGGTGAAATCTTGTCTACATTCTAGAAGATAAGTGATTTGAGGTGACCTGTTCATAATCTCAACATGATACTGTCTCTTCTATATAGGTTACTAGACGGGTGACCCGGGCTTCGCCCCAGGATTGACCCGTGTGCATATCTTTGTTTGCATCAGCATAATTTAATCTAATCTTTGATAGAGGGCGCTGTTCGTGAGCTAAGTAGAATAATTAGAATATATAGTTTTAATAATTGATTTATATATTTTTTAAAATAGCCTATCGTCTTCCCCGTATTTCTTTTACCTATTTATGGAAATTTTGGTTTGAATTAGTGAACTACTGCGAATTTGTATACCGGACATACAAACAAACATACATTTTTATATATATAGATAGATATTCCAGATTTTCTTCAGATTTTCACTCTCAGTATCAGCTGGGTTCTGTCGGTTTGTTCCATTTAGTGGTATTTGCTGACCTAATTTGTGATAAGTGGGTGTATATTCATTTAGGTCTCTAGTTTACATTGTAAACGTCTTTCGCGCTATTTCCACCTAGTTTGCTGTTTCGGTTCCTGGTTCCAAAATCACTTTAATAGGTACCACTCAACAATTTACAACATATTTACAACAATGAATAATTCTGCTGTCCTCGAAACTTATGTCAATAGTTCATCTAAAATACCAATTCGAAGAGTCTAACATCAGTATCACTATAAAAGGAAGATCAAAAAATGCAATATAACAGCGGTATGGTAGATTAAACTGGCGAAACCGCTGGGAGGGTTCACCACTGATGAGCCAGACCCTCCCATTAATTTTTCCATTGCAGTAAGGGCAGCAGAAATTGTTTTATTTTAAAAAGAATCCTACGCGTCTATAATAATTTCGTATAATGAATAATATGTGGAGGTTATTCACATATTAAACAAAATGTTAACGTGGGATACAATCCCGGTTCATGGCTGTCGGGAATCGAGGGTGTTACCTACTCCTCCACCGAATCTTTATTGCACCTAGTTTAACAAAGGTATTAATCTGCTCATATATTTTGGAATTCTCACATGGAGTTTAAACTTTTGGAGTTTAATAGTTCTCTCCTTGTGTTGAGTCTTTTAATGAGTCTTGATATGTTTAAAAAGTGGATCTTAACTTGTAATGCAATGTACAAATTTATATAGATATTGATTTTATGATATTTGTGAAAAAAAAAAATTAAAAATGTTTCTCACTAAGTGTATTCGTTTGGTAAAAATTGAAAAAAAAAAGGTTTTATTCAATATATAGTTAAATTTTTAGTTATAAAATATATAAAGCTTCCAGGGTTAAGTTTCTTGTGCAACTTTTTATTTTCAAGCTTTCGGACTTGTCAGTCCTTCAACAGGATTATCACGTTAACAACTTAATAATAAATACAATTTTTATATACATATTATTATTTACATATTTTAAATACTTATTATATATTGAGAGAAGAATATATTACATTATTTATGTTTGAAAAACCAAATTTTGAAATATATACGTGTATGATGGATGAAATAATTAATTTTCAACTCTTGAGCTAAATACACATCAAAATATCTCACAATTAATATAGAATTTGGTAATTCTATTATGTGAATTATCACAAATAAATACAATTATTGGCAATATTTAAACGGTGAAAAAACAGTACAAATGTATAATTAAAATTAAAAAAAGGCATCTCCTGACCACGAGCACATGTGCTTTTTAGATGGCAGAGCGCCATCTAGTGGAGCAAAAATAAACTAAACGTTTATTTAGCTTGCTCCGTGATATTTGGCCAACCCAATTTCTTGATTTATCAAGAAAAGCCATCCACGAACGCGTTTCGCGCTGTTGGCGCTCGTCAGCGTGGAGAAGGCTGTAACGCTGCTCGTGGTCAGGAGATGCCTTTTTTATATCAACACCTGACCCACTTATCTTTTTTTTTTCTATTGTTTTTTCAAATGTATAATTGTACTGGGATAAGGTGGCTAAATTAAGAAAAAGGCATCTGTTGTTGCACGATAAGGCATTTTTCTTAATATTTAAATTGTTTTTAAGAACTAACTGGAAGAAAAACATATTATTTTTAAAGTAGACAAAGGCTTATTAAAAATAATGGTAAGAAAATTGTGAATAATTGATAATAAATGAAATAAAAAAATTGAATATATTTAAAAACTGTGTAATAGGTATAATTTACAGTTGAAAAATAGAATGATATACCTTGTTCCAAAATCACTTTATTAGGTACCACTCAACAAGAGCAACCTAGTTTATGATATTTACAACAATGAATGTGAAGGTTATTCACATATTAAACAAAATGTTAACGTGGGATACAATCCCGGTTCATGGCTGTCGGGAATCGAGGGTGTTACCTACTTGTCCACCGACTCTTTTTTTAAATGGTATTTATGTTCCTAAAGAGGTCTATTTCTCCTTTAAAATGCATTAAAACTAATATTTGGTTCTTCACTCCACACAGTACATGGTATTGTCAGTTTGACTTCTGAATTTGTTAAAACTGGTGTGGAGACACATTGTTTATCACCAACATAACGTTCTGTACTGTGGGGTGATAATCCAAAATGTCTTGTTTCAATAATGTGTCTCTTTTGCATATATTACATATAATGCTAATTACCAGCCGTAAAGTTAACAAATGTTTTACCAAAATGTTTACAACCAAGAAAAAGTCAACATGCAAATTTTCAGTTCCTTCTCATTTTGAGAGATTTCTTGTTCTCTTTAAAATTTTTAGGAAAGATTTTCCTGTGTTAAGTGAAATGCTGAAAGATTTGGTTGTGTATCCCATCTTGACTGATATTGCTTTAC